CTCTCTTTTTTTAAAGCTTTTATTTATTTATTCATGAGAGACAGAGAGAGAGAGGCAGAGGGAGAAGCAGGCTCCCCGAGGAGCAGGGAGCCCAATGTGGGACTCGATCCCAGGAACCCAGGATCACGACCTGAGCCGAAGGCAGACGCTTAACCTACTGAGCCACCCAGGCACCCTCGTCTCTCTGTTCTCTGATTGTGTGGCCTGGATTATGTTATTTAACCTTCCCCAGCCACTGACTCAGAGGGAGGCTGTGAGGTTTAGTGATGATGTATCTGGCAGACAGGGGATGTTCAATAAACCGTAACACTTATTAGGGGCTTCCAGGGATAGTTGAGCAAGCTGTGCACTGCACAAGGGCACCACACCTATAAGGACATTCACACCATAGACCTTGTAGATATTTGTTGTACAAAGTTTCTGGCAGCTGATGGCAAAATCTTGCTCTAACTAAATTGTTAGAATATGACAATATTCTGATAGATGGAAGAAAGTATTGGAGGAATACTTTCATTCATATAAAAGAGCATGTATGTTCCTGGCAGCCCTACTTGGTATTAATTCTCTCTTCCAACCACGAATCCATTTCTTCTCACCATAGACCCTAGTTTTTGAGCAAGTGCCAGTCCTAGCGGCCCAGGGATGCTGACGAGGATGGGACAGACCTGCAGACAGGGCCCCTGAAATGTGTAGAGCATCCCCGGGGCAGCAAGTCTTCCCTCTTGCCTTCTCTCTTCTACAGGTCAACATGGTGGTCTTAGGCAAGTACCTGGGCATCCCCAAGCCCTTCGGACCCATCATCAATGGCCACTGCTGCCTGGAGGAGAAGGTGCGGTCCCTGCTGCAGCCGTTGGGCCTCCACTGTATCTTCATCGATGACTATTTGTCCTACCACAAGCTGCTCGGGGAGATCCACTGCGGCACCAATGTGCGCCGGAAGCCCTTCTCCTTCAAGTGGTGGCACATGGTGCCCTGAGCCTGCCTCCACCCGCCATCCCCTCTTCCCACCTGCCAGGGAGCCCCGCCAGGGTGAGGGCGAGGAACCTCCACCCGGCCTCCATCCTCTTAGGGGAGCCTCGGGCGCTTCTTCCCGAGGGCCTGCAAACGTGCTGGCCACCGCAGGCCCGGGGATACGGCGGTGGGCATCACACACCCTCACCTCTGGAGTGGCCTCCCCGGCCCAAGGAGGACTGTCTTCACTCCTCCCTCCTTCTTCCTGACCCGACACTCCCAGAGGTTCTGGAAAAGGGCAACAGTCTTAACCTGTTCACGGCCGGCCGTGCGTGGTCACAGCAGACGCCCCACTTTGAGTAGCTTCCCCTCTGTTCTGATACTCCTTTCGTGTCGGCACCAGGAATGGGGCCCAGAGGGCCTGGGCTCCGGGGTGGGGGCCTGGGCCTAGGGCACCTGTGGTTCTCAGAAGAGCGGGAGCAGGGAGGTGAGGCAGCCTCTTTTCTCTACCAGCTGTCCTCTCCTGCAGGCGACCCTCAAGTGTGACCTCCTGGTGCCCCTCAGCCACATTTATAGAGGCAGATAAGGACAGGAAAACCCAGCATCCGAGGGCCTGTTTTAAAAAGAAAAAGCAACAAAACCCCTGTAATACCTGACTCCATCCTCAGAAGGGTGCTTGTTACCTGGTTAGAAAGCCTTTAATTATGAGTGCTGGCTGCTTCCGGCCCCCAAACGCTGTGAAGCCAGAGAGAGGCCTCAGGGGGGCACACAGAGGCAGGCTGGCAGGAGGCCAGGGTGGTGGAGGAAGCCGAGGCCTGAGGATGAGCCGTGGGGCCTGGCCTCCGTGTCCTAGGTGTCCCCACTTCGGATTTTGGACTCTGGATGCGAAGGGGGGGGCTGGCCGTTCCAGATGTCACAGGGGGCAGGGGCCCAGATGTTAGGAGAGGGAGGGGGGCATTAGGTTATCTCTGAAGGTGGGGTTTAATTTCCTTTAATTGTCTTTAATTATTCCCCTTGGCCCTGCAGGCAGTGGAAGGGAAGGCTCGCCCAGTCCCTCTCGGCAGCCCGGAGACCCTGCACGTAGCCTGGGTTTCCCCTGTAGAGTTAACCCTGTGGCAGGCCTGTCCCCCTCCTGCCCCCCCACCCCCCCAGAGGGGAGAAGAGACCTGCCAGGGGGGCTGGAGGCTGGTTTAGGCCGGCCCCGGGTGAGGCCACCGGGACGGGCACGGGCAGGCAGGCTTGGCCAGTGCCGGGTGAGAGGTGGTCTCTGCCTCAGGCAGGCACGGGCATGAGGGAGCCAGCCTGCCCCCTCCCCGCCACTGCCTCTGGGGCCATCCTGGTGGCTCTCAGCCCCCGGCCTCCACCAGTGGGGTTTTCAGTGGCCCCTGGTAAGACTGCGACTGGGCCAGCCAGCCACTGTTAAAACTCTGTGAACCACGGAACACTTGGCAGTCAGAAACTTCCATGGAAACTGGACGTCTGAAGCAGACAAAACAGAACTGCTCTGGTTTAAGATGGCGGGGGTTGTGTATCTGGGTTCTCCCCTTCCAGAAGACTCTGGGGACCCCATTTGCAAGCCCCTGGTCTAAACTTTGCACTTTCTGCTCATAACCACGACCCAGCCTAGACCGAGCCAAGGCGAGAAGGGAAGCTCTTCGGGGGCCAAGGGCCTGCAGCCAGTGTTGAGATTCCCCAGGGAAAGGCTATGCGGGGAGGGCAATGGGCGTTGCAGAGGGATAAGGAGGGTGGGGAGCAGGCCATCTAGAGCTGCCCTGAGTGTGGGAAGCTCTGGAATTGCTGCTAGAGTTGTCAGAGGGCCCTGATGTCCCCTCTGAGGATGTTCCGGATGACTGATCACCTACCTGATTAATAAAAATGTCAACATGCATTTCTTCAAGTGGCTGCCTCCTTAGCTTCTGTTTGTTGGGCTGTAGGGAGGAGGGGAGGAGTGAGGGGGGCCCTCCTTCCAGTTCCACCCACCATGCCCCAGCTCCTTGGCTCAACTTCTGCTGGCCGTGGGCAGCTCCTACCTGGCTGGGAGAGCCCCCAGGGCCAGTGCCAGGCAGGCAGGCAGCTGATTCAGCAGGATGGCTGGCACGGACCCACAGCTCTGCCCCGCTGAGATGGATATCAGGGGATAGGTAGGTCCTACCTCTTCCTTCCCTGGGCTATCTATCTCTTCCATCTCTCAGATGCAGGTGGGCTGGGCCCTATTGGCAGAGGTAGGAGATTCTCCAGTGGGACTCATGCCCGGGGCCAGCAGATGATTCCCTTTTATTCCTACCTCTAAAGCTACCAGGTTACCCAGCCTCAGTGTTCTGATTTCAGGAGCCTGAAAATAACACCCCTCTCATCCTACACACTGGTTCTGCCTTGGATTGTGCCCTTTGACACTCACTCACTTATTCACTTTATTTTACCTTTTGTTCTGGACTAAAAGGCAAAAAGTTGCTGCCTATCAGTCGTTGACCCTTTAGGCTGAATGAACCACAGATGTGTTTCTGGTATTAACCAGGGAGAGGTGAAGACCTGGGTCTAATTCCAAAGGGAGATGCAGGGCTCTAAGCTGGAAGCTGGTCCTGCCCCTAGCACAGGAGGCCAGTGCCCAGGGGGAAGCCCCCACTTTCTGCACCGATTCCCCAGCTGTGCTCATAAGCAGGTAGGGAGACTATCTGGGGCTTCCTTCTGAGTCCTGACTCTTACCCAGAGCTGAGCTGGCCATCAAGCCATTTTCTAGCCAAAAAAGTAAAGACTGTCATTGAATCCAGCAGCCCAGCAGCTCTCCTTGAGAACATCCTTCTCAGACCCTGGGATAGAAGAGCACCAGTCTCAGAGTCCTGCTGAGATCCTTGAACTGCTGGGAGTACACACACTGGGGACTCTGGGGAACAGGTCCTAGTCCCCCACCTGCCTCAGACAGGCAGCATCCCCAGAGAGAAGGGAGGAAGCTTCTATTCAGCACCTTTAGGGGCTGGCTGGGTAGGGTGTGTCCCCGCCATTATCTCTGCTGGGCTGGTGATTAGCCACATTTTCTACAGATGAGAAAACCAAGGCTCAGAGAGAGGGAACATAACCACCCAAGGCCACATAGCTGGTGCACGGTGGAGTCGGGATCCGGGCCCAAGACCCCTCTCCCCAGAGCCCTTGCTCCCGTCGCTTCAGGTGGCTGAACGCCCCCTCTGGTCTCAGTTTCCCCATCTGACAAGTGAGCCTTCCTACCCCGATGTTCTAAGCTCTTCCTGGCCAGAGAGGGTTTAACTCGAACCACCCACCCCTTTCACAGGCTTTTGCCATGTGATAATAATGACAAGGCCAGTAATAGAATAATGCTGAGCTCCACACTAGAGATCTGCCCACGTCGTCCCATGTAAGCCCTGCAACAGCATTTTCGGAAGCGCCACGTGAGGCACAGAGCAATGGAGTGGCTCGTCCACAACCACACAGCCAGGATGTGGTTGAGGCTGGGCTAAAACCAGTCCCGCTTCTACACTCCATGCTCTTAAGAGAAAGGCTGGTATTTCTCAAAGTTTCTCAAAATGCTTTGGGGTGCTTATAAAAAAAAATCCACGTGCCAGGCGGCACCCTCTAACCGGCTGCATCAGACTGGAGGTGGGACCTGGGAATCTGCATTTTCACCAGCTCCCCCAGCAGGGTAGAGAAGCTCCCCACTAAACTATATCATCTCTGAAAATGCAGGAAAGGGGGTGAGGAGGAGGAGTGTGGAAAGTGAGGAAGGCGCCCAGGTCAATACCCCACATCTTTGCCTCCCCCACGCCCCCAAAGCCCTGATGCCCCAGCCAGGTGCCTGTGGGGACTTGCTCCCTTAGAGGGAGAACCTACTTCCCTCCGTGCTGGGGGCGGAGCAACAGGTTCATATGCAAATGATTGGCTTAGCTCCCCGCTCTGGGAAGGGGCTGGGCTTCCAGGACTGGAGCCAATGAGCTAGCACCCCGGGCTGGAGAGGCGGGGCCGGGGTCTTTTAAACCACACCTCAAGGGATCTGCGGGGCAGTGTTGGGTTTGGTGGCCCCAGCCCAGACCAAGGCCAGCATGTCACTGCAGAGGATCGTGCGTGTGTCCCTGGAGCATGCCACCAGCGCTGTGTGTGTGGCTGGCGTGGAGACCCTCGTGGACATTTATGGGTAAGAGCCAGAGGCCTAGAGGTCTCCAGCTGTGCAGGGCTTCCTTGGGGCTCAGGCCTGGCCCGGTTGCCCTCCCCCAAGCCAGGGGACTTGCAGTGGTTGAGCTCTGGTCCAGGGCCTTCGAGGGTGCTGGTGTCATGGGGGCTTGGGCACACTGGAGGACCCTGCAGGCTGGGTACACAAGAATAGAAAGAGGTGTGTACCCCCAGCCCTGGTCCCCAGCTTATGAACTCTGCGAAGAGCATCAATCATTTCTTTAGAAATCATTTATGTTTATGTAGCACTTCCTATGTGCCAGACACTGTTCTAAGAACAGCGTGGCAAGCTTCTTGAATTTAATCCTTGAACTTTAACGCTCCAATTTAACCTTCACAACAACCTATGAGCTAAGTTTGTTGTCAGCTTCATCTCATTTGATGGATGAGGAAACTGGCACAGAGAGGGCAAGCCATTTGCTCAGGTCACACAGTAACTAAGTGTCAATGCCAGGATTCAAACCCATTCATGGTCAAGGGTCTTTTTTTGTTTTTTTTTTAAAGATTTTTTATTTATTTATTTGACAGAGAGACACAGTGAGAGAGGAAACACAAGCAGGGGGAGTGGGAGAGGGAGAAGCAGGCTTCCCGTGGAGCAGGGATCCCGATGTGGGGCTCGATCCCCGGATCCTGGGATCATGACCTGAGCTGAAGGCAGACGCTTAACGACTGAGCCACCCAGGCGCCCCATGGTCAAGGGTCTTATGCTTTTAGTTGTCTGCCCCTTAAAGAGGAAGGATTCGGTTTCCTCCAGCCATTCAGAGCCCACGTGATATGGCCCTATTGTGTGCCATGACCATATCCTTAAAGCCAGTGGCTGGAGGTAAGGCCCCACCTTCTCTCTCTCTCTCTCCCAGGAAGAAAAGGAGAGTTTAGGCAGGGTTTTAGGAACTGGGCTCTGGGAACCACTGGGGAGCTGGCTAATTAGCTTTTTGGGGAGTCTCCAGGGGACCCAGCTCCAAGGCTGAGCTGAGGATACAGGTAGTCAGGGGACAGGGACAAGAGAAGGCAGAACTGTGTCACCATTCCCTCGTCACCCTCGTCACTGGTCTCCCACCCTCTCCTCAGACCGGGTTTCAAAACCTCAGCACTACTGATGATAATTCCCCGTTGCGGAGGTTGTGCACTGCGAGATGCTGAGCAGAGCCTTGGCTTCTACTCACCAGATGCCTGTGGCACACACCCACTTGTGACAGCCAAAAATGTCTCCAGACATTGCCAAACGTGCCCTGTGGGGGGAAAAAATCACTCCCAGTTGAGGACCAGTATCCCAGACTAAGACTTTAAAAACTGGAGTGAACTTAGTCGGAAGCAGAGATGGGGTTGGTCCCAGAGCATTAGATAAGAAGAGGTGAGGGGCTGGTCATGGGAGGGAACCAAGTCTGGAGCAGGCCTAGCCCAGCTAGGCACTGGTAGCTAAAGCCTGGTTGACGGTGGGTGGGCAGTGAGAAGTAGGAAGGAGATTTGGAGGAGGGGGCACGGAGGCTGTGCCAGGAGGAGTGACAAGGGAGGAAGGTGTCCATGCTGCCTGGCGCCACCCCCTCCTTCAGTGCTGCGTGCCCATGGCCGTGACTCACCTGCGTCAGCTGCCTCATGCCCGTCGGGCAGATGTGCTTCCAGTTTGACCTGCCCCAGGAAACTCAGGGCCGGGTCCTCCCCTGCAGAGCTTCCTTAGAGGATGGAGGACAAACTGGGGCCACCAGAGGCAAAGGCAGCAGTGTCTTGGGGTTATGTGAATGGATGTGCCGTGTTGGGGTTCGCAGAGGAGGCTGTTGGGGGGACAGGCACAGGGTGCAGAGCAGAGCCTCAGGCACCCTCAAATGAAGGATTCTTGGGCCTCTATGACCGGACCACCTTGGGGGAGGGGGGGGCTGCTAGTTCATCCGTTCACACGTTCATCAAGTATTTCTTTGGGGTCTAGTGTGGACCGGGCATGGGGACACAATGGTGAACAGGGACGCCTGGTCCCCACTCTCTGAGAATCCTGTCCCTTCAGAGTTCTATCAGAGGCTGGACTACCTCACCTTTTGTGGAAGGATTCCTGTCTTGCGAGGGGAGAGGGACCGGGTTAGCTCTATGGTCCCTTCCAGCTTGGAGATGTCGTGACTCCGCAATCCTAGGTGCTCACGCTGTGGGCCAACAAGGGAAAAGAGAATGAATGTGTTGGCTCAGTCCTGGCGCCGTGACTTAGCCGCCGTCAGACTTCGGGAAAGTCATTTAACTTCTTGGAGTCTGTTCCTTCACCTGTGGGATGGACACAGTCCTATCAGCAATGATATTTAGAGACTGCTCCATAGCAGGTGCCGCCCGAAACCTTGATGTTTAGTAACTAATTCTCACAATTCTATGATGGGGGGGGAACTATCATCATCCCCATTTATAGATGAGAAAACGGAGGAACAGAGAGGTTGAGTAGCTTGCCCCATGTCACAGCCCATGAGGAGCGGCGGAGCCAGGCTGCAACCCAAACACTTTGACCTTCACTTCAGGGGACCCTGAGGAGGATTGAATGAGATTGTGTGTGTGTAGAGCACATAGGCCATACCTGGCACGTGGCGGACATTCCATCATGGTAACTGCCACCACCACCACCACCATCATCATCATCATCATCATCATTTTAAGGCTCTGTCCTGGCCCTTTGGACAGCCTCAAGTGTCCCCAAACCTGCCATCCACAAGATGGGCACAACCTCTGAACCCCACTGGGAGAAGGAGGCGATGAGAACAGAGAAATTAACATAAGCTGAGCAGTCGGGACAGGTTTTCTGGGGGAAGGACACCAACCAGACCACTGGGGCACTGTCTGTGGCGATGGACTAAACCCTGTCTTCTTGCCTTCCGTTGAGTTGGAGACAGCCCTGACTTGGTAAGGGGGCTTTGCTTTCCTGAGCAGGGGTTTGTAGGGGGAAAGGGTAGGAAGGGAGACACATGGGTGTGCTGAGTCATACCCTGGGGATGGATGCGCAGCCAGGGTTGAAAACCACTGCCCTAGTTGGACAGGCCAACAACTCCTGTCACCTCTTGCTCAGTGGCGGCAGGTCAATGGAGTGAAAAGGCAGAGGGCACCTGGGGGCTAGGATCCCTGAGTTTTAGTCCTAGCTCTGCCGTCCTTTTCTATCTCGTCTTGAGCCATTTTCTGCTCCTTCCTGGGCCTCAGTTTCCCCTCATGTGGCCTGAAGAGGCTGGCATAGACCAGCGGGTTGCAGGGCTCTCTGCCTGCCTCCACCAGCTTGTGCCATGTATGTTGACCTGCCTGGGCAGACGGGGCCCTGGGAGGCTGATGCATCATCAACTCTCCTAATGATCTGGGCTTTAGGAAAAGGGTTCATGGGGCCACCGTTTCTCAGGGGCAGAAAGAATGTGAGACTGAGGAGGGACAGTGATCTTCTGAGCCTGGTGATGGTGAGGCCAGAGGACTTGGGATCTGGGGACCTCGATGGACAGGGAGGGGCAGCCGGTACTGCCACCCAGAGCCTGAGCTGTCTGGGCCTTGGTCTGCTCTGTCCTCGTGGGCCACGTGGGTGGGGACCATGGTGGTCATCTTGTCAACCTGTCTGTTTTCAGCTACAAAGGGCTTTCCCATCAGTTTTTCGGCTCTGGAATGTCTGGTTTCGTTTTCCCAGAGGCCAAGGCCCTGAGCCCATGAAAGGAGAGGATGGGTTTGGGTTTGCAGGGGAGCAGGGGACAGAGGGGGCTGTGAGTCCCAGCTCTGTCACTGGCCAGCTGTGTGACTCTGGGCAAATCACCTGTCATCTCTGGGCCTGCTCCCTCATCTGTACAGCAGAGATAATAGGACCGACACTGTGTAGCTGTGGGGATACTTTGTCACCATTGTCACTGTCATCATCCTCACCATTGAAGGGGTGACACAGAGCATAAAGGAAGACCTGACTTGTGTTGATTCCTAGGAGAGGCTTGGCTCACCCTGAGTCCTTCCCACGCTGCCTGGGGAGACAGCCCACCCTTAGCCATGGCTCTCAGACGTCACTGGGCATCAGTGTGGCTTGAAGGACAGGTTCCGGGGACCCTGCCGGCAGCACAGCTCGATCTGGACTCTGCATTTTCAATCGGCAGGTCTGAGGTTGGCCACCGTGAGGGTGCCTAGCTGTCCTGGTTTGCCCAAGACCTGCTGGGTTTTTAGCACTGGAAGTCCTATACCCCAGGACACACCCCGTCTCCGGCAAAACAGAACTGTTGGTCACCGTAGCATGCTTTACGCCCCTTCATCATCTAGGCTGGTAGGGCCTCCAGAGCAGCTGGGCCCCCAGGCTGGCCAGAGCTGCTCAGTGCGGAGAAGGGCCTCGGACTGTCCCGTGCATGGACAGCCTCAGTGGGGGAAAGCCCAAAGTCCCCAGGGCTGGGGCATGGTCTAGAGCAGCATGCTGGCAGCTCAGAGTGGCCTGGCTGGAGGAAACTTTGAACTCTGAGCCTCTGGCTTCTTCCCCTGCTCTCCACAGGATGGGAAATCCAGACCCTCCTGTACCTGATGCAGGCTCTTCTCCCAGCAGCCACCTTTTGATCTTCCTCACAGCTTCCCTGATGGGGCATGAGCACTGGACCGGGAGTCTGGAGCCCTACCTTCTAGTCCCTTCTCTTCTGGGCCTCAGTTTCCCTGGAGTGAAGTGAGGCATGGGTTCAGGTGCCTCTAACTTTCACTCATCTGCAACGTTTACACACACTGTCTCCTTTAATCTTCTCCACTTTATAAGCAGAGACACAGAGGCAGAGGGAGGCCAAGTGTCTCTCTCAAGGTCACACACCTAGTGGGTGGTAGGGCTGGGATTTGAACCCAGCCTGCCGGGGCCCAGCACCCACAGGCTTAACCCCCTCACCTCATCTCCAAGGTGTTGCCCCTCCTGATCAAGAACCTTCGCTGGCTCCCCATCACAGCCTGAGTTTACCCTTGACCTCCTAAGGCTCCCCTATGAAAATGCCTTCCCCTCGGACGTATCTCCTTGTCCTTGGTTCCCCTGCCTCCCTCCAGGAAGCTGCCCCCAGCCCCCTCAGCCCATCCTCTCAACCTGCCCCCGTCTGCCCATTTCCTGCTTCCTAATTTACTTGAAGAACCCCCTTCCCCCATCTTGGTTGGGTGGTTTTCCAAGCCTTTCCCATTATTACATCTGAGCCTTACAATTGCCCATGAGGTTGACCAGGTGAGTGTCATCATTCCACTTTGTAGGGAGGCTAGGTGATTTATTCACTGTCACCTGTCTAATGTGCGACCCAACCCAGTCTAGAACCTGACTCTTGACTCTGGTCCTGGCACCACTGAGATCTTGGCTTCTTCCCCCCGGGCCTGAAGGGATCTTCATCAGAGATCCCTGGCGCCCCAAACAGGGAGATGCAAGGGAACTGGGCTGAGATACCCCAAACGCAGGGGCTGGGGCTGGGGCTGGGGAGCTGGGTGGGGTTCCATACCGGGAGGACCATCAAGTTGCTCACCTCCAGCTCGTGGGCACCCGGGATCCAAGCAGCAACTTGGGGTTGGGGGGAGTTTCATGAGAAGTTTATAAACTTCCTGGGGAGCTGGAGGCCAGATAACTCAGGGAGTGGGGCTGAGGGTGCTCCCTGGGGTGGAGGGGGGCTCTTCATACCCAGTCGATTTCCATGTGTCTTTCTGGCTCTCCATCTCTCTGGGTTTTTCTATATCTCTTTGTCTCTCTCTGTCTCTTTCTTTCTTTTCTTTTTTTTTTTTTAAAGATTTTATTTATTTATTTGACAGAGAGCGATACAGCAAGCGAGGGAACACAAGCGGGGGGAGAGGGAGAGGGAGAAGCAGGCCTCCCGCCGAGCAGGGAGCCCGATGCGGGGCTCGATCCCAGGACTCTGGGATCATGACCTGAGCCGAAGGCAGACGCTTAACGACTGAGCCACCCAGGCGCCCCATGTCTCTGTCTTTCTCTGTCACTGGGCCCGCATACCTCTCTGTCCAGGTTCTTTATGTCCCATGATGGGCTGGCCCACACACCCAGAGCACAACAGGACAGAGGGCACCACCAGCCCTGGAAATTACAGGTTTTGGGAATAGGGTTGCCAGATAAAATCCAGGATGCCTAGTTAAATTTGAAATCCAGATAAACAATTAATATATATATATATATATTTTTAGTGTAAGCATGTCCCAAATATCACATGGGACATCCTTAGACTAAAATAATTATTTGTTGTTTATCTGAAGTCCGAGTCCAACTAGGTGTTCTCTATTTTTGTTTGCTAAATCTAGCAGCCCTGCTTGGGAGGAGAAGCAGGTGGGTCGGCCCCTCCCCGCTGGTGAGGACGCCTGGGAGGGCCACGCCCAGGACTGGGACCCGCCTAATGATGTGGCGCTTGGGTTTGGCTTATTTCTTTATTTATAAAAAAAAAGCCACTTTGAGAAGTATCAGAACCCTGCTGGTGGAGGAGTGAAGAGGGTGTATTGAAGGAGGTCTGCTCTCCTCCAAGTGGAGCAGGGAAAGGAAAAGGGCTGGGAGTCGAATTGCCTGCTGTGCAACCTTGGGGAAGTCTCTTGCCCATCCTGAGCCTCTGTTTCCCCATGTGTAAGTGGGAGTAATAATCCCCTCCTCCCAGGGCCACAGGGAGGATGAAATGAATGCTGGTTGGAAGGGCTTAGCCAGGCCTGCCCTGGTGAGCGTGCAGGGGATGGGGACCTGGGGGGCTCTGATTATTGTGATTACTCTTGGGGAGGTGGTAGGTGAGAATATGGACTCAGGAACCAGAAGGCCTGGGTTGGGATCCCAGTCCTGCCACTTACTAGCTCCGTGACCTTGGACAGTTTAATTAATCTCAGTTTCCCCATCTGTAAAAAGGGAGACAATGGTAGTCTGCGTCTCCTAGGTTTATTGAGAGGGTTACATGATGTAATAGGACCTAAGAACTGCACACAGGACTGGCATATAGCAAAAGCTCGACAAATGTCAGCTCCTGTTATCCCCCAGGCACACGTGTGTGCTGCTTCCTCCAGGAAGCCTTCTGGTCCCTCTGGCTCACAGTGGCTTCTCCCTACATGGGATTCCACTGACCACTGACTTCCTGACCGTAAGTCCCATCAGGCTGCCCTGGGCAGGGCTGTTTTTAACTCCCTGGTGGGATGGAAGGTTCTGGGGCAGTGGAAAGAGCAGTGGGGTGTATCTGCCTCAGTCTGGGAATGCTTCTGGGCACAGTGGGCACCCTGGGCACCCCACAGACAATCAGAGGTGTGAACAGACTGACTTCAAACATGACTCCCAGACTAACCGGAGGGGATGGGGAAACGCAGTCCCAGGGCTGAATGACATAGGCTTTTTCACCGTCTAAATAATGCACGGTTGTTTGACTGAATCTGGCCCAGTTTCCCAGGTGACACTGCAGTGCCACAGAGAAGCATGGGCTCTGTGTCACATGCCGTGTGACCTCGGGCTTGATACTTGATCTCTCTGAGCCTCAGTTTCTCACCTTTGCGATGGAGATGATACATACCACTTGCTTTGCAGACTGATAAGAATAAAAGGAGCTGGGAAATACAAGGCGCCTGGCACATAGTAGGCCCTCCACAATATTTACTACCCCTCCCTAGGGAAGACCCCAAGAACATCTCGCCCGCTAAAGAAGGATGCCCTGGGACTTTGAGGGGAGACTGCTCTTCTTAAAGCCATGCTCAGAACTGCAGTGGGGTCCATTTGCAGGCTGATGTCCACTGAGCTCCTTGTGCCCAGCTCGGCACCAGGGGGTTATAAAGCACTCAACTGGGTCCTAACTTGCAAAGAGCTTGCAGTTTTGTGGGGAGTTAAAATAACTCAAAAGGGAAGTGTTAATAAACACAGAACCTTGGAATGTGAGACTGTGTATGCATTTGGGTAGGGTCCAGGCTTCACTCCCAGGAGCTTGCTGTGGGGGATCTGAGAGGCTTGGGGTGGTCAGGGAAGGCTTCCTGGAGGAAGCAAGAGTTTGAGCCAAAGCTCAAGCATCTGAACAAGTATTGCCCCCCTCTAGCACTTCCCATGGCTTCTTGTCCTTCCCAGATCGGTACCTGAGGGCACAGAGATGTTCGAGGTCTATGGGACCCCTGGCGTGGACATCTACATCTCTCCTAGTGTGGAGAGGGGCCGGGAGCGCGCGGACACCAGGCGGTGGCACTTTGATACGGGGTTGGAGATCATCGTGGTCATGAACTCTCCCAGCAACGACCTCAATGACAGTCATGTGAGCAGGTCCCCTGGTCTGGGCGGGGGGGGGGGGGGGGGGGGGGGCTTGTGGGGCAGTGATCTAACTCCACAAGGTCCGGCACCCTCTATTTACCCAGATGGCAGGGTAGCATGTTGGGTAAGTACCCGCTCCCGGAACCGGCCAGCCCTGCAACTTACAGACATAAACTGTGTGTCTGCTGGCAAATCACATCAGCCCTCTGGGCCTCGGTTTCCCCATCTGTAAAATGCGGGTGATCACAGCACCTTTCCTCTTGGTGTTGGTGTGGGGTGGAACATGAGCCAACATTTGCTGCTTTTCTTGTTTCCCAAGACCCCAGTGAAGGGAGGTGTCCCCACTTTTCTGCAGGCTGAGGGTTGATTAAGTGATCTCTGCCACTCCGAATGGACAGAAAGCAGAGATGGGGGGATGCCAGTGCCTGGGAGACCCCCTTGTACTGGGTGCCTCACCTCCTAATCCACTCTCTCCCTGACCCCCTTCCCTTCTCAGAGGCACGTAACTCCCCCTCCTCACCTCTCTGCTCATTCAGCCACCAAGGGTGAGTTTAACAAGCCCCAGCTGTAGGCAGGGTTCTGACCTTAGAGCAAGGGGGCATTACAAGAGGGCGAAATGGGGTGGCCCTGGAGCTTGGCCCAGGTGATGCCCCCTTAAAGGGGTGAGGGGAAGCAGGCCTTGTCGTATGGGCAGGTTCCCGCTTCATGCCAGGAGCAGTGTTGTAGGAAACTGACCTTTTAAGGACCACCGATCATACGCCACGCCCTGGGCAGCCATGACCTCATACAGCCCTCGCAACAGCTCAGAGAGGCGGGGTCTGATCCCCATTCCATAGGTGGGGCCACCAAGGTTCAGAGTAACTGTGTCCAGGCCACAGAGCCAATGAGTTAGAGAGCTAGAATTCTACACAGACCGGGCTGACACCTGGGCGGCAGTTTCCCTTCATCACCCCCTCGTCTTTTCCCATCCGTGTGTCTGAGATGAGCCCCTCCACTGAGCTCTGTGACGCAGGTGGACAGGTAAATGAACTCATTTTACAGAGAAGGAAACTGAGAACGAGAAGGGGGGTGGCTTACCCGAAGTCACCCCATCTAGTGAGTAGCAGAGTCGGTAAGGTTCAGGACAGAGTCCCCGGGACAGGGCAAGAGGACCAGCCAGCGAGTAAGGGACCCCTCCTGGGTGCCCTGCCAAGTCAGGGCTGTGTGGATGCCAAAGACCAGAGGGATTGAGGAGGGTCGGGGTGTCTGCCCTTCCCCCACCTTTGGCCTAGATCCGGGTAACTGTATGCCTGAGGCCAGCATCATTGCTCAGGCTTGACAGTTGGGTGTCAGTGATTGCAGGATATAGGGGCTCCCAGCACTGAGGAGTGAATGGCCTCTATAAGATCCTGAGCCTTCTGGCAGAGCTGAGGGACCCCCATCAAGAGGGAACATGTAAGGGGAGGGCCGTGGGCCAAAGGGGCTTTGATCCATGGGCCTTGAACTGTATTCTCATCAGTCACAGTCAGCCCAGCCTTTAACAGCTACTGGGGCTTGCTGTAGCCAAGGACAGCGCTGAGCATGTCACCCGCCTTCCTTCTTTGATGGTCACAGCCTACAATCAACCCTTTGGGGTAGGGACTATTATTATCCCTCTATAGCAGGGGATATTGAGGCCCGGAGAGGACAAGTGACTCTTCCCAGGATATCACAAGTGGTAGATCTGGAACAGGACCCCAGAGCAGCACCAGCTCTGCCCTCTGTTAGCAATAGCCAGCGTGTCTGGGGCCCTGCCCATGGGGTCAGTCTTGTACATGCATTGTTTCTAAGCAGCACTAAAATCCTCTGTGGGCCATAGGGTTTTGTATGTTTTCTGTTCTGCAGATGAGGAAACCAGATCAGGTCAGAAAGGTGAGGGACCTTGGCCAAGGTCACAGAACCCAGAGGTGCTGGCCTCAAGTCCAGGCCTGGCTGAATCCCACAGATAAGAGAAGGTCCCTAAACCCTGCCCCGTCAAGTGGCAAAGCTCTGTGGCCAAGAGACCTTTTTTAACAAGTGGCAAAGCAGAGATCCAAAGGGGAGCAGGGGTTTGTCCAAATCACATGGTAATCATTGGCAGCCCTGGGACCCAAGTCTCTAGGGAATCCCTCACAAATTGTTCCCATTTTACAGATGGGCCAAGCAGGGCATGGAAAAATAAATGGCACAGAGACTAATGGAGGAGCTGGGTTGGTAAACTCAATTGCAGTGAACAGAGATTCCTGAGACCCTTTCTCTTTCCTGCCAGATCCCCCAAGACCTGTCCTTTGGGGTGGGGGCTATTGGCTTCAGCTGGCTTGACTCTGGCCCCATTTCTCTACAGGTGCAGATTTCCTACCACTCCAGCCATGAGCCCCTGCCCCTGGCCTATGCGGTGCTCTACCTCACCTGTGTTGGTAAGTTGGGGGTCATGCTAGGGCTTGGGCCAAGGGTGGGGGGTGGTTGGGAATGACAAGGAACAAGAGTCTTTTTATAAACATCAATTCATTTTATTTTAAAAATTAAAATAAGCGTACATTTAAAAAATTCAAGTGGTATAAAGGAGTATATATTGAAAAGTAAACCTCCCTTTCTCCCAACCGAAGACTTCCAGTTCCCCAAGCCTAGCATTCTTCTAGAGATCTACTATGCTTGTGCAGGTGGACACAGGAATACCTGTATACTCCCCTTTTGTAAGCGAAAGGGAGACATACTCTAGGCCTGGAACTGGACCTTGCTTTTTCCACCTTAAGTTTTTTGTGCCAATTGTCCACAAATTGTATATAAATTCCATGCACTATAACTCAGATTGATTAGTACATTAAAGGAAAAGGTAGATAACATGAATTAACAGATGGGGAATTTCAACAGAGAGCTGAAAACTATAAGGTGTCAAATGGAAATGCTAGAACTAAAAATCATGGTAACAGGTAAAAAAAAAATGTTCTTAGTGGGTTGTCTTGGTAGACTTGGCACAGCTAGAGAGAGGATCAGTGAACTTGAAGATAGGGCAATGATAAATTCAACTGTATTAAATTTTAGAACTTTTATACAACAGAGGACAAGTAAAAGGTCAAACTATGGGGCCGCCTGGCTGGCTCAGTCCACAGAGCAAATGAATCTTGATCTCAGGGTCATGAGTTCAAGCCCCACATTGGGCACAGAGCTTACTTTAAACAAAAAGGGAAGAAAAAGTCAAAATATGAACTGGGAGAAGAAATTTGCAATGTATATGGCTGACTCAGTACATAAAGGTTATGGAGAACTCCAATCAATAGGAAAAAAAGACAAACTAACGGAAATAGGCAAAAAATATGAACAAGCAATTCACAGAAGAGAAAGCCCCAGTGATCAGAACCTAAATGGAAAGATGCTTAACTCAGCATTGCCAAGGATGTGGAACTGGGGAGCTCCTTGATGGTGGGTGGGAGTTTGCATGGGTACAAACACCTGCAGAGCACTTAGCAAGAAAGTTGAAGATGCTCTGTCTGTAGAAGGCATTGTTAGAGGCAAAATGTACATTGTTGGACTTGTGCTGGACTCCTGGGAACCCCATAATGACTTACTCTCTATCCTCCCCTTGCAGACATTGCTCTGGATTGTGACCTGAACTGTGAGGGCAGGCAGAATAGCAGCTTTGTGGACAAGGTAGGGCGATTCAACCTGGGCCCAGAAAGGGGCATGGAGTTTGGAGTTGACCTAGGCTGGGTTAAGAGGGGCAAAGACATTACAGGAATGCCCCTGCCTCCTAGCTGCTGCTGAGGTCAGGAGAGCCAAATGGGAGCCCGGCATGGCTGGGGATCTTCTTTCACCAGGAGAAAAATTATTACCAAGAATTATCAAATATATACATCCCCAGGCCTGGGCTAGGCCTTGCTTTGTGGGGAAAAGTCCTTCTGGAATTTCAGTCTAGGTCAGGGGTCAGGAAACTTTTTCTGTAAAAGTGAGATAGTAAATATTTTAGGCATTGCAAAGTGTTTCTGTTGCAACTATTCAATTCTGCCATTGTAGTGTGAAAGAGCTATGGTCAATACAATGGATGTGACTATTCCAATAAAACTTTATTTACAAAAACAGGCAGTGGGCCAGAAGTGGCCCCTGGCCCTGGTGTGCCAACCTTCTGATCTAGGTGAAAGGGGAACTCTACCAAGTATGAGACTTTTAAAGAACTTTGGGCTGAACTGTGGTGGCACTGAACGCATTGGGAGTTCAGAGCAGAAGGTCAAGATGGGCTGCATGAGCAAGGAAGACTTCCTTTGAAGTCCACTTGAGCTAGGTTCTAAAGCAATGCAAGAGGGAAGGCATTCCAGGTGGAGGGAAGAGTGGGAGACAAGGCCTGGAGCTGGGAATGGATCTATAATCAGGAAGCTGCCCATTGAGAAATAGGACATTGGCTGGAGACTCATTGCAGTTGGCCATGAGAGACCTCGGTGTAGTTTCGACTTGCTGGTGTGGGCAATCGGGAGCCACTGCAGTATCTGGTGCAGGAAGTGCTTCCGTGAGAGTGGACTTGTCCTCACAGGGAGGGCGAAGAGGAAGAGACGGGGTCAGGAGGCTGGCCAGGAGGTTGCTGGGCGGGGGCACAGGACGGGTCCGAGCCCCATCACCAGCTATGCTTTGCCATTGGCAGCGGGATTGGGTCTGGGGGCCTGGCGGGTATGGAGCCATCCTGCTGGTGAACTGCGATAGGGATGATCTGAACTGCAATGACCAGGACAACCGTGACCGGCATGTGCACTGCCTGCAAGGTGAGGGGGTGCCCAGGGTCACCACTCAGCCACCCTGCAGGTAGCATTGAAGGGAGCATCGGGGGCCAAAGTTCCAGCTCCTGGACACACTTTGATGTTGCTCAAAACCTGCCTCAGGCTGGCAGCTAACCCCTCCCAGCCTGTCTGTGGAAGATCCAAAGCTTCCTATCTGCACCCCAGATCCAGCCTCCCACCAGGCACCCGTGACTCATTTCAGGACGCCCCATGTTCTAAGTCAGTCCCACACTGCATGCAACAGCCCCGTGAGGGAGGCCGCAGTAATATCCCGGGGTGCGGGCCGGGGGCTTTATGCGTGGGTGGGCACAGCTGCTCCGAAAGGGGGCACATCTGTCCCTCGTTTCAGATTGGGGAGCGCTGAGGCTCAGGGAGGGAGGGGCCTGCCCGATGTCAACAGAGAGTGACGCTTGCCCTGAGAGCAGACTCTCCCCAGCACGCCGCCCGTGCGGCCCCACACTTCTCACCTGTCCCCAGGCACGGGGCTGGCTGCTCTGTATTTCCCATTGCTCTGGGCAGGTGAGGGAGTGGAGGCGGGAGAGGGTATGACGTATTCACGTGGCACACGCTTACGGACGTCCTTATGCTTTGCTCTTGACGGTTTCCAGTGTTTTCACAGGGTGGGCAGAGCTGGGGCTCAGAGACCCGGGTCTTGGCGCCCTCTGCCCTTGGAGAGGGGGGTGGTGTGGTGGGCAGGAGGAGAAGACGCGGAGTGTCGCGGGCCCCCTGAGCTGCCACCCCTGCCTGGCTCCACAGACCTGGAAGACATGTCTGTCATGGTCCTGAAGACCCAAGGCCCCGCTGCCCTCTTTGATGACCACAAACTTATCCTCCACACTTCCAGCTATGACGCCAAGTGGGCACGGGTCTTCCACGCCTGTGGTGAGTTCATGCTCATCCCCTCCCCCTGCTCCCACTGCTGGGGGGCCTCAGTTTCCCCATCTTGGGCCGGAGGGCAGGCTCTGCTCTGGCTTCCAGCCTGCCTGGGGGGTCAGAGGAAGCAGGGTCAGCTGGGGGAACTCTGAAACAGGCGGGCTGGCATCCCCGCACAGCCATGACCCAAGGCTGTTTGATTGGATGAATTAAAATATATCTAGGGGCGCCTGGGTGGCTCCGTCAGTTAAGCGGCTGCCTTCAGCTCAGGTCGTTTTCTCAGGGTCCTGGAATTGATCTCCGTGTCAGGCTCCCTGCTCAGCGGGGAGTCTGCTTCTTCCTCTCCCTCTACCCCTCCCCCTGCTCGTGCTCTCTCTCTCTCTCAAATAAATAAAATCTTTAAACAATATATTTAAAAATATATTTTAAGAATGTTCAGAAATTCTTATTATCAAAACTTTCAAACACACACAAAAGTAGAGAGAATAGTGACAAACCCCTGTATGCCAGGCACTCAGATTCAACAATGACCACTGTTTTGCTTCTCTTGCTTCATCTGTTGTTTGTTCAAGTATTGTAAAACCACTCCCAGACATGGGGCTTAGTGCCCCTGTAGAATTCAGCGTGCATCACCCCCCAAAACCACGGACTATTGCTCCACAGAACCATAGTATGAGCAAGGACATAAAATCCCCTTTTTTTTTCAAGATGTTATTTATTTATTTGACAGAGGGAGACACAGTGAGAGAGGGAACACAAGCAGGGGGAGTGGGAGAGGGAGAAGCAGGCTTCCCACCCAGCAGGGAGCCCAATATGGGGCTCGATCCCAGGACCCCAGAATCGTGACCTGAGCAGATGCTTAACAGACTGAGCCACCCAGGCGCCCCTAACATAAAATCCCTTTTAAAGATACAAATGGGGCGCCTGGGTGGCTCAGTTGGTTAAGCGACTGCCTTCGGCTCAGGTCATGATCCTGGAGTCCCTGGATCGAGTCCCGCATCGGGATCCCCGCTCGGCGGGGAGCCTGCTTCTGCCTCTGACCCTCCCCCCTCTCATGTGCTCTCTCTCTCTCATTCTCTCTGTCTCAAATAAATAAATAAAAAAAATCTTAAAGATACAAATGCACATAAGTGATAAAATGCTCATTTTAAAAAAGCTCAAACAAGGGGCATCTGGGTGGCGCAGTGGATTGGGCATCTGACTCTTGGTTTCAGCTCAGGTCGTGATCTCAGGGTCCTGAGATCGAGCCCCACATTGGGCTCCACGCTCAGCAGGGAGTTTGCTTGGGATTCTCTCTCTCCCTCTGCTCTCTGCCCCACCCCCACTCACACGTGCCCTCTCTCTAAAATAAATCTTTTAAAAACATTAAAAAAAAAAAAGATCAAACAACATAGAAGTATATAAGGTAAAAAATGAGAGTTCCCCCTCCCTACCCCTAAACCTGACTCTTTAAAATGAGTTCACTGTTAACGATTTGCTACGGGTCCTTCCCGACTTTTCTCTGGATGCATTAAATGTGCATGCACGTGTGTGTGCACATATCCTGCTTTCCAAACACTTTCTTCTGTTGAATGATACCTGACATTCCTTCCTGTATTTATGCAGCTCTGCCTCATTCTCTTCCACCGCGGTGTGGTATCCCAAAGCACGGGTGTGCTGTAACTTATCCACTCCCCTGAGCATGCAGCTGTTTGCAGTGCTCTGGTCTGATCACAGTATAGCTTCCTTGAGGGCAGGGGCATTACTCACGGCTGCATCCTGAGCCTAGAACCAGGCCTCCCAGGTGCAGAGCAGGTGCTCAGTAAATACTTGTTCAATGAATGAACAGCCAGTGAACACCCTCGTACGTGTATTCGCAGCAAAGACATCTAGAAGCGGGATTGCTCATTAGGAGTAGACCTTACTTTGTGAGATGCTGCCGAGTTGTCCCCAGCAGGTCTGAACAGCCATCTTAGAAAGGAAGGGCCTTTCCCCTGGCCTTGCCCACACTGGGCATCAAGCATCTTCTCTCCTTCACTGGTGGGAGGGCAGAGGCTGGGGCTGCCTGTCTGTCTTGAGGGGTTTTGGTGAGGTTGGCCCAGCTCCTCTTGCACCCTCATGCTCTGCGGGCCCACTTGGGGGTCACAGCCGTCCCATCCCATCCCCTCCCAGGTCCTGAAGACTCATGCAAGTCCTACAGGCACGTGCTGGGCCAGGACAAGGTGTCCTACGAGGTGCCCCGCTTCCATGGGGACGAGGAACGCTTCTTTGTGGAGGGTCTCTCGTTCCCTGATGCCAGCTTCACGGGGCTCGTCTCCTTCCATGTCACCCTGCTGGACGACTCCAACGAGGTGAGGGGTGGCCGGGGCAAAGAGGGTAAGAGAGGGCTCCCTCCCTGGGAGAGAGGGGCACCACCAGCGTGGAGGACCCCAGACCTTTCGACCACCCCGTTGCTGCCCTTCTAGAAACGAGATGTCAGCGGGCTCAGCCGGGCCTCTGGACTCCAAGGCCAGTGCTCTTGTCCTTCTGCCCATCTTCCCCTGTAGGATTTCTCTGAGTCCCCAATCTTCACCGACACCGTGGTGTTTCGTGTGGCACCCTGGATTATGACGCCCAGCACCCTACCGCCCCTGGAGGTATACGTGTGCCGGTGAGTGTGGGAGGGGGGGCATGGGTGTCCTTCAGACCCTGGTGGCCCCTCTGGTCTCCATACCTGGCTCTGTTCTGAGCCACACTCCCTGGGCTTGTCCACAGTGTGAGGAACAACACATATTTTGTGGATGCCGTGGCGGAGCTGGCCACGAAGGCCGGCTGCAAGCTGACCATCTGCCCGCAGAATGAGAACCGCAATGACCGCTGGATCCAGGTACCATGGCCGCTGGGCAGCATCCAGCCAGGACGGCATCTTGGAGGGAGAGGCTGGTCCATCCTGACCCAGGGCAGGGAGGGGAGGTTGCTGTGAATATCTAGAAGGACCTGGGGGCTGTGACTGTCCTTCCCAGCACACTCTTTTTTCTCAGTCTAGACCTAGAGCTCCCTCCCTCTCTCCAGAACTTTCTAGAGACACAGGCACACACTGACACTGGATTTAACCCACATTCACCCACAGGATCTGGGCTAGGCATGGGGCTGGCCCCGAAGGGAATGGCCGAGGTATGGGACACACTCTCTGCCCTCAGCAGCCTGGCCCTGTGGTTCCCCACGGAAGGCAACTTTGTCCTCCAAGGGACATTTGGCAGTATCTGGAGAAAGGTTTGGCTGTCACCCCGAGGCTGGTGGTGCTACTGGCTTCTAGTGGGGATGCTGCTAAGCGTCCTATAATGAATGCACAGGGTGGCCCCACAGCAAAGAATTAGCTGGCCCCAAGTGTCATGTGTGCCAAGGCTGAGAAACACCGGTGTGGTGAATTATTGCAACAGCCCCCCTCACCCCGCTCCTGCAGTTGAAGATGTAGTAGGGCTACCAGCAACGTGCCAGCAGGGTTTGGAGGAGGGTGGCATCGCCTCTGTCTGGGGGATGAATAAAGACCTCCAGGAGGAAGGGCATCGGGGCAGGACCAAGTAGGCGATGTGCTCGCAGGGGGCCCATGCCCAGGGCCACAGAGATGATAAGGGCCATGCTGGGGCTCAGTGGATGGTGGGCCTCACAGAGGACCAGCATGTGCAAAGGCCCTGAGAGGGGAGGCATGAGAAAGCTCGCCTTGGGCTCTTGTTGGCCACGGCCAAGGTTCCGTGAAGGAGCTGAAGTGGGAGACCGTGCATGCCAAGCTGAGAAGCTTTCATGGCTGGCGGTTCATCCGATGAAGCAGATGTTCGGGGCAGGACCCTGGAGCAAGATGGGCTGGGTGAGGATCCTGGCGGTGCCACTGACTAGCTCTGTGTCCTTGGACGAACAATTAGACCTCTCTGTTTCTCACTTTCCTCATCTGTAACGTAGGTAATCATAGTGCCTCTGCATGACTGTGTGTGTGTGATGAGGGTTCATGGAGTTACTATTTATAAAGGGCTGAGAGCAGGGCCAGGCACATAACAGTGAGCTTCTCATTGGGTATAGAGTTCATCGGTGCTGGGCCCTCTTTGCCTCCAGGACCAGAGGGATCAGGATTGAGCTGGGCTAAATGTTGAGAGATCTGAGGAGGCAGACCTATACCTCCTTTGGTCACCTCAGCCCTGTCCATGACCACATGTGGAGGCCAGAGGTGCTGGCTAATGTCCAGTGACTTGTTTGTCCAACTCAGGCCACCCTGTGCCCCTCTCTGTGGCCACTTTGCCCTGATCTGGCATGGGGACCCACCCAGGGTCACGTCCATGTTCTCGTTCATTCCCCACCTGTCTTGCTGTGTGACCTTAGGCAAGAGCGCCCCCTCTCTGAGCCTCCAGCCCCTCCTCCAGCCAGCAAGCATCATGAACCCCTGCCTTCTTCACCCCAAAGGGCAAAGCAGGCCTGAGACAAAGAACCCCCAAGAACAGTCTTGCCCAAAGCGCTCAGTGACAAACAAGTGTTGATTTTCCACAGGCTGTCTCTCTCATTCGCAGGACGAGATGGAGCTGGGCTATGTTCAGGCCCCACACAAGACCTTCCCGGTGGTCTTTGACTCCCCCCGGAATGGGGAACTGCAGGATTTCCCTTACAAAAGAATCCTGGTGAGTGGTCCGGGCCACAGGCTGCAGCCTGACTCTGAGGGCCGAGGAACGTTTCCTGAAGCCCCACCAGGGTGTAGAGTCTAGGGCGCAGCACGGGGACCATGTTCTAGGGACAGGAGTGACCAGATAGAACATGGGAGATGCCTAGTTACATTTGAATTTCAGATCGGCAATGAGGAACTGTTTGGTATAAGTATGTTCCAAGCCTTGCACGGGACACAGTTATACTAAAAATATATTTGTGGTTTATCTGAAATTCAAAGTTAACTATGCATCCTGTATTTTTATTTTCTAAATTTGGCAGCCCTAGGTAAGGGTGATTTTGGGGGCGGGGCAGTGCCGCTGTTAAGAACACAGGCTTTGGAATCAGAACCACCCGGCTGTTATTCAGATGCTGTGTGACCTGGCCTGAGTCACCTGCCCTCTCTGAGCCTCAGTTTCTTCATCAGCAAAAATGATATCATAGCCCTGGCCTCACAAGTGTTTGTGAGGCTTCTCTGTACTGGGCAGAGGGAGCCCACAGCACTGTTAGCTGAGGTTAATATTGGTAATAAGGAATACTGTGAAGATGGTGGTTGGGGACCTCCTAGAAGAGAGAGGGGAGACTCCCTTGGTACTGTAGAGACCGTGAGGCCCTTCCAACCACCGCCCCCCGCCCCCCACCAGAGGTGGTAGGAGCTCTCACCTGGGCCTCAATGTTGATTGAGTTCCTTTTAAGAGATGGCCCTGGGGAGCTCTCCCCTTTTTCAGGGTGGAAAGACTGAGGCTCCATCCTCAGTCCCTTGGTCCCCAGGAACAGGCTACTCTAGAACAGCCAGATACTTGCCCTTGGGCTGCACTTGGCAGGAAGGCTGTTCGGAGGGTAAGGGGTGGGGGCCATAGCCTCGGGCTCCATGTCTAATGGGGAGTATAGGCAACCAGGGCCCTTTCCACTGTCTCCCTGTGACCATGGAGCTCTAATGTGGCAGCAGGGCCAGAGTGCCTGTGTATTTCCCTACTTTGGCCTCTATGCATGCGTGAAATATTGAATAGGTCATATCCCTGTCTTTGACTCAGTATTTCCATCTGAAGAATGGGCAGCCACTCCTGCCCCATCCTTAAGGAACTCAGAGCCCAGCAAGTTGGTTCAAGTTCTTTCTGGTGACCCCCACCCCTAGCCTGACTCAGTTTCCCTTGCCAGGGTCCAGATTTCGGCTATGTGACTCGGGAACCACAAGACAGCTCTGTGAGTGGCCTGGACTCCTTTGGGAACCTGGAGGTCAGCCCCCCAGTGGTGGCCAATGGGAAAGAGTACCCCTTGGGGAGGATCCTCATCGGGGGCAACCTGCCTGGGTGAGAAAGGAGCAGGGAGAGGTGTTCCTGGGGTGGAAGGTGGTGATGGTGGCTGGGGTGGTGGTGGTGAGGGACAATTCCACTCCTGGGAGAGAACCAGTGAGGAGTGATAAATTCCTAGTTCTAGATGGGGTGAGGGGAGGCAGTGCGCTGATCACCAGACACTGTCCATGCTTACCTTGATGAGTTTGAGAAGGCCAAAGTCAGCAGAGACCTAAGAGATCAATCATTCAGTCCCGCCTTTCCATTTCACAAGTGAGCCCAGAGAGGGTGAGTGACCTGGTACAGGTCACACAGAATGCAAAATCGTGACTAAGGTCTTCTGATTCCAAAAAGAAATGATATTGCTAATAACATACTATTAATTAATAGTTCTAGAGGAAAAAGCTTCAAGTCTCAACAGCCCTAGAGCAATTACATTTCAAGAGCTTGTTCTTACTATGATGTAAATGACTACTATGAAATGTTTTCCTGACAACAGGAGAAGGAAGGTATAGGACATGAAAAATGAGATGTCATAACACACACACACGCACACACACGCACGCACACACGCACACACACACAATAACAGATTATTTGTTCAACATGTGACACGAGATACTGATGCAAAAGAAAAGGAATTATATAGTTATGGTTTTATGCTGTGGAATAGACCAAGACTTTGAGCCAACCAAATTCAACAAAGCAGTTAGGACAGACTTGCAGTCAAAAAACAGGTGAATCAAGGGGCTTTGGAGGGAGCTAACTGCCCTCAACACGCGATCCCACAGAAAGAGGAAGTTCAAGGTGCCTGGGTGGCTCAGTCAGTTAAGCGTCTGACTCTTGATCTCAGCTCAGGTCTTGATCCCAGGGTCCCAAGTTCAAGCCCTACGTTGGGCTCCATGCTGGGTATGGATCCTACTTAAAGAAAGAGGAAGTTTGGGTCACGCCATTAGATACTATGCAGAAGGCCAAAGAAGAATGGGGCTTGAGTTCATGAGCATAAAATGCTGGGGCTGTGCGGCCCCTTGGGGGTGATCTTGTCCACCTCTCTCCCCACTGATGTACAGAAGGTGAGGCCACAGGAAGAGAGACACAAGTTAAACTCCAAGAAGAGCCGCCTGGCCCCAGGGATGGAATAGGGTGGTGAATCAGTCTCTTGGAGAATGTGAGGATGGGTCCGAGGGCAGCTCTGAGCATTTGCCTGGATGGCAAGACCTGGGGGTCACTGACCAGGTGGGATTGAGCTGTCCTGCATCTGCTCAAGAGCTCAGCGTGAGCAGAATTTAAAAGACACAGTGCATGTTTTTTTGTTGTTTAAAAAAATCAGATACTGCAGAAATCTTGAACTCTTGTTATTCCATTTCTGCATGGACTTTTTTAAGCTAAGAAATTCTTTTAACCCCAGGTCCAGCGGCCGCCGGGTCACCCAGGTGGTGCGGGACTTCCTCTATGCGCAGAGGGTGCAGCCCCCCGTGGAGCTCTTTGTGGACTGGCTGGCCGTGGGCCACGTGGATGAGTTTCTGAGCTTCGTCCCTGCCCCCGATGGGAAGGTAAGGACAGCGGTGACATGCCTGTCCCCGGGGTCTGGGTCAGAGGATGAGCTCCAGGGGGGCCGTGCTGGGGCCAGGGAGCTCAGGCGGGTCTGCCCTCTCCACACAGGGCTTCCGGATGCTCCTGGCCAGCCCTAGCGCCTGCTTCAAGCTCTTCCAGGCAAAGCAGAAGTGGGGCCACGGCAGTGCCCTCCTGTTCAAAGGGGTTGTTGGTGGGTACCCCCGCTGTGTCCCTCACCCCAGCTTTCCTGCCCCCTCCCCTAAAGCAGGATGCATCATGGCTTGAGAGAGGGATCATGAAGTCTATATAGCAGGGTGGTCCCCCCAAACTCAAGAGCCTCACTGCCGCTGCACGCCTTGCCCCACCAGCCCCCACTGCCCACCAGTGGCTGGGGCAGAGACGTGGCGAGCTGCATGGGCCCGTGACCAGTATCCTCAGACAGGGCCCTCACCTCAGGAAGTTTAATGCTCTGCTATCACCGTCTTGAAATTCTTAACCATTTGTGCTTCGTGAGTGAATCCTCTTGCTGCCTCCCGGGGATGAGATCCCCTGTACACCCCTCATTCCCTGGGGCCTCAGCCATGGGCAGTGGGGGCTGGCGGGGCCTCCTTTCTCTGCCCCCCCCAGGCAGTGATTGTGGCAGCAGGAGCCTGGACGTGGGGAGGCCTGTGTACCTCTCAGCATCTCGGGGGGGGGCACCTGACATTAACTGTCCTTGTCCTGGACTGGCGGTGGGCGGCTCACAAGGGGTGAGCCTCTCGCCCACCCCCGATCCAAGCAGCTAGCACCCCGCTGTGTGGAGGCCGCAGTACCCGGAGGAGTCGGCCTGTTTGCCATGGGCTCGGGATGGCGGGCCTGGGGGAAGGGGAGACGTCTGGCTCGACGTGGGTCCCGCGGCTCGTGGGCTGGGACGCCTGGCAGCCGGTGGGCTGTGCGCACGCGTCAAGTTTCAGCTGGGGCTCCCAGCGCTGCGGGGGTCTGTGCTCACTATGCCGGTGTCCCATGACCGAGGGAGCATGACATCAAATAGCAAGTAAAAAACCAACAGGACAGGGCAAACAGGACAGGGCAGGAGAGAGACCATGGAGGAAAGAACAAACCTTACATTTTAGTACCTTTAGTGATACTTTTTGTTTCCCGCTCTTTGAACAAAGGGTCCCACATTCTCATTTTGCTTGGAAGGTATTCTGAGAGCCATTGTGCCTGGAGCTGGGGGGGGGGGGGCGTGCGGGGCAAGCTTGCTGGAATGGCTCCCTTCCCGTCCCCACCAAGACTGTGAATCCGAGAGGTCTGGTCCTCTCTGACAGGGACCCTGGTGCTCTCAGGCCAAAAACCTTTGGCTGCTGGGATCGCAGCTTTTCTTGGCCTCACGGGAGGTAAATAATGTCCTGGACCAGACCTCCAAGGGAAAAGCTTCTGCAGAACTCAGAAGTTCTGAAGTAGAACTTTGCAGTCCCTTTCTCCCCATTTACGATCCTCACCCCCTTCCCGGCACCACCCTGGAGCCCCAGCTGTAAGGTGTAAGAAATACAGTCTTCCCAACCCCCTTGCTCCCGTAAGGACTGTGGCTAAACACCCTCTGGGTCCAGAGCAAACCTGAAAAAGCCTCAAATACAGATGTTATGTACCAGGTGGAAGGAAAGCCATTGTCACCTTTCCTGGAAGGACCACACTGACAGTGAACAAGACCCAGGAACAGGCTGAGTGGGTTTTCTCGCCGCCCAGCTGGGAAGGAGAATGTGGGAATCACAGCTGTCAGGCCACAAGCAGCCACGTGCGTGGGGAGGCCAGCATATCTCACTAGTGACACGGTGTGCCAGGCCCCACTTACTCTCCTCTCCCCTACATACCCAAGAACACAGGGAAGTCGGGCGAGTCACTGGCCCAGAGGGCTCAGCAAGAACACGATGGAGCTGGAACTAGACCCCAGCTGGCTGACCCCAGCTGGGGCGGAGGGGATGCCGAGCCTGCAGATGGGCACGTGAGTCCAGGGAGCCCTGTCTTACCCCTTGGTCAAGGTTTGCAGCCCTTTGTGAACACTGGGCTTGGGTTTGAATCACAAGCCCCCTGTTTCCCAGCTGTAAGGTCCTAGGTGAATCTTTTTGCCTCCCTGAGCCTGAATGTGCCCGTCCGTAAAATAGGGTGAGAATGCACACCTTGTGGGGTTACAGGGAGGTTAAATGAGGTGTTGAATGGGGAGAACCGAACTCAGGGCCTGCCCCTGGCAAGAGCTTGCCGGCAGCTGTGAGGACTATGAGCCTAACCTCCCTTTCCCGGTCCAGCCCATCGGAAACAGGCTTCCAGGGAGCCCCTTGGCCATGCAGTCCCCTCGTGGAGGGCAGGGACAGGATCCAGTGGTGTCCATCAGGGCTGATGGACGGGTGGGTGAACCAGCCCCATTACCACCGCTAGCTGGAAAGAAGAGGGATCAGCAGCCAGTGTCCTAGAAGGGGCAGATGCTTCCAGTGAAAAGCATCACCCCACTTCCAATGCACTCAAATAGAGGTCTAAGGTGTGTGGTGCTCAGCCACCCGTCCGTCCCTCCCCTCCCACCCCCAGGCTTGCGCCATGGCCAGGCCGAGCTCTGCTGGGTGGTGCCTACGCCATGTCTAGAAAGGCCAGAGAGCTACTGACTCACAAGACCAGTAGCTGTGAACTTGACCTCTGCCTGGCTGCCTCCCAGAGCCGGTGGTGACCCTCACCTCTGGTGTTGTTCCTGCCCCTCCTCTAACGTCTCTCTCTCCCTCACAGGGGATAAGCCAGTCAACACTGTCTCCATCAACCAGGTCCTCTCCAACGTAAACCTCATCAGTTACAATAAGTTCGTGCAGGTACAGGCCATGGGCTGTGAGGGGAAGGTGGGCATGGCTGGGGACGGCGATGGGGACGGAGTCTGAGGCTCGGGGTCCGTGAAAGCCCAGGCTGGAAGTGGCCCAGACAGAGAGGCTCCAACCCCTCCTCTGATCCAGGAGAAATGAGGGGTAAGCCGTGTGCATGTGAGGAGGACATACATCCAGGCAGAGGGAAGAGCACAGACGATGGCCCTGAGGTAGAATGAAGGGGCATGGGATATTTGAGGACGAGCCAGGGGGTTCTGGGGAGGTGAGGGGAGGCTGGGCCATCAAGTGATGGAGGGCATTGCAAGGACTTTGACACTGGAGGCCACTAGGGGAGGTGGGCAGAGGGGGGACCCGATCTGATTTATTCTCTGAAAGGATCGCTCTGCGGCTGTGTTGAGAATATATCAATATTTCATAGCAGGGGGTGGGGGTAGTGACATTAGGCCCCGGCAAGAAACACGTGGGACCTCAAGCTGGATAACTGGAATAGTTTAATCGAGGGAATATTTACAAAGGCGCAGGCAGGATCTGAGGAAATCAACAGGGGGCTGTGCAGTAAGGTTAGGGAGAGGGGAGTCGTTACCATCCCTAGACCTGACATGTTACTGGAGGGGACATGTTACTGGAACCTGGACAGGTCACCATGGAAAGAGGGCTTGGAGACAGGAGCTGTGACCTTCCTGGCCAGCCCACAGTAACTTGGCAGTGAAGGAGCTATAGGAATAAATACCCAAACTGCACTCTGCTACCCCCCCACCTCCTGGCAGTGCCCCATTGGCTGCACCTGGCCAGAAGTCAGTGGGCACAGGAGCCCCTGATTCCCAAGGACCAGGCTCCCAAGGCACAGAGCAGAGGAGGAGGTATACGGAGGGTCCAGAAGGGCAAACAGAATACCCAGCATGCTGTCATCTAAGAAGTAAATGCCAAGACAGAGTTAAACATGAAGGGATCCTATTAGGGACAGTGCCTGGGAACCAAGGACAAGGAGACATGTCTGAGGGGAAGGCATTTTCACAGGGGAGCCTTAGGAGGTCAAGAGTAAACTCAGGCTGTGATGGGGAGCCAGCGAAGGTTCTTGATCAGGAGGGGCAACACCTTGGAGCTGAGGTGAGGGGGTTAAGCCTGTGGGTGCTGGGCCCCGGCAGGCTGGGTTCAAATCCCAGCCCTACCACCCACTAGGTGTGTGACCTTGAGAGAGACACTTGGCCTCCCTCTGCCTCTGTGTCTCTGTCTATAAAGTGGAGAAGATTAAAGGAGTCAGTGTGTGTAAACGCTCAGATGAGTGAAAGTTAGAGGCACCTGAACCCATGCCTCACTTCACTCCAGGGAAACTGAGGTCCAGAAGAGAAGGGACTAGAAGGTAGGGCTCCAGACTCCCAGTCCAGTGCGCACGCCCCATCAGGGAAGCTGTGAGGAAGAGGAAGGGAGCTGGAGGGTACTGGGAGAGCGGACCCTCAGTGGGCGAGAGGGAAGGAAGGCTGAGGGAAGCATCCCATACCATCATGCAGTCTCAGACAGGTTCAGCAAGGCTGTGGGAGATTCCGCAAGCCAAAGATGGCCATAGGTCTGCCTTAGTATCCTTGTTGCACTCACCGTTGGCTCTTAGCAACTGGTGGGAGGTGTGGCCCTGGGATTTCAGAACCAGAGCCAGGCAGCAAGGCCCTTGGTCGAGTCTATCCCCATAGCTGGAGGTCCACGAGGAATGTGATGCTGGCTGCCACAGGGCATGGAAGCAGAAGAAGCAAGGAGACTGGTTAGGAAGTTGTCAACCAGGCTGGGGCGTGGGCAGGGGATGGTTGTCCACCAGGTGGGAGCAGTGGAGGTGGTGGGAAGAAATTCAGACTGGGGATATGTTTTAGAGGTAGAGCCCACGGCACTTGCTGAAGATGGGTGTGAAGTGAGAGGGAAGGAGGCACGGGCCCCACAGCAAGGCTTTAGGCTCGAGCAGCTAGCTGCGTTCATAGAGCTGAAGGACCCTGGCGGGGCGGGGAGGTGGGGGGGCGCGTGTAGAAACAAAGAGTTTGTCTTTGGACATGTTATATCTGATGTGCCAATTAGCCATCCAGGTGAAGAGGCAAAGTGGTGGTTGTATGTGCAAATCTGAGATCAGGAAAGAGGGTGGGTCTACAAAGCAGTTGGGAAATAGAAATGTGGGAGTTGTCTGTGTGTAGATGGTGTTTTAAACCATGAGACTGAAGGAGAGCCCCCTAAGGCGTGAAGGATGTGAAGAAGGGAAGAGGGTGAAAGATGGAACATTCTGGAACACTCACAAAAACAGAATGTTGTGGAACACTCTGGAACTAGCCCGGTTAGTGGTATAGGACTGTGAGAGGTGGGACCCAGAACAGGTGTGTTTTGACAAAGGGACACAGAGGTAAGGTTTGTGTGGAGAGTTGGCCCATGGGCAGTTGGGCAGCCTGTCTCCTTAACTAGACATGACCTCCTGGATCCCCCCAAAATCCACTGGAAAGGTCTCTCCAACTCAACCCACCCCCCTAGAGCTGCATCGACTGGAACCGGGAGGTGCTGAAGCGGGAGCTGGGCTTGACTGAGCAGGACATCATCGACATCCCCCAGCTCTTCAAGACTGAGAGGAGAAAGGCGGTGGCCTTCTTCCCTGACTTGGTGAGGCCACCTTTCGTGACTTAAATCTGTTTCATCAAATTAGGCTCCAAGCTTTTGCTCCCTAGCAGGGCAAGACGTTTGGTCACTGCCATGTTTGGGATTGTGGTGGCTGGTGGGGGTGGCAGAGAGAATCAGGGGTCCCATGATGGCCAGCAGATGGGCTTCTAGTTGGCTGACTGTCCTGGTCACTACAGAAGGCTCATTGGCCAAGCCCCTTACTCAAGGGCCATCAGGGAAGGGCCCTTCCCTTCCCCCAGGGACCCACTTGATATTTGTGGAGTGAAGCAATGACCACATAAGGTCATGTGTGCACAGCACGCAGTATCAGCTGGGAGCTCAGACACCCCTTGTGCTCCCTCTGTCCCAGCTCATAGCTGTTCACCCATCCCCCATATATTCAGGGTACACTGTCAGAGAAACGATTAAGGCTGCTCCCTGCTTTCAAGGAGTTTCCACTCTAATCTAGTGGGAGGGAAACTCTCTTCACCTCCCTTAGGGTGTGTCCCACTCAAGGGTCTCTTTCGTATAATAAAGTCATGTGCTAGTTGAGAGGTGGGACAAAGCACTTCCAGCCTGAGAGGTAGGCCTGGAGATCCACGAAGGCTTCGTGGAAGAGGTGGCCTTTGGTTGAGGCCTGAGGGCTTTGCCTCCGGAACATCTGGACTGCTGGGGCCCCATCCCATGGGTTCTGATTCAGCAGGTGGTGCAGAGGCTGCTCTCGGAGGACTACACTTTGAGTAGCACTACTGTAGATGACCCAACTCTCCTCCCCACCCTTCCCCTCCTCCAGCCCCTCTTCACCTCCACCCGGCAGAGGAACTCAACTCGCCCATCATCAGAGCCTTACAGGGGGCCTGTCCACACCCACCATTGCTTCATCCCCCCATTTCCCATCCCCTGTCTGGCTAACCTTTTGTCCTCCTTGATTTCCCCATTTGCAAAACTCGATTTCCTTCCTGCATTTTAAGGCGGATCTGCAGTTATGTAAGTGCCTCCAGTGTTTGCAGAAAACAGGGCCACCCCAGCCAGCTTAGCCCGAGCAGGAGGTTTAATGCAGCATCACCCCCCACACGTACAGACACAGGCAGAGATCCACTGGACCGGCCCACTCTGTCAACTTCCAATACTGCAGGGAGAGAGAATCTGCTTGGTCCAGCTTGGGTCAGATGTCTGCGCTGGTCCAATCAACTACAACCGAGGAAGTTGGGATTCTGCCGCACAAACATGGCAGCCACCAGAGTCCGCCCGTAAGGAGGGTGTCACCAGAGAAATTAGCTGCCCCTAGGAGCTCTGTGGTTGCTCCCATGGGATGGCACAGCTGGCTAGAGTCTCACCAGCCCAGGTGCCTCTCCCCCTGCGTGCAAGTATGAGGAGCTGTTTTCGGGGCTGCCCGCAAGACGGACGCAGGTCCTGCCAGGTGTGGTGCAGGTGTTGAGGCGGACCTGATGATGAAGTGCTGCCCCTGAGCTGGGACCCCGCTTCTTTGCAGGTGAACATGCTGGTGCTGGGGAAGCACCTGGGCATCCCCAAGCCCTTCGGACCCATCATCGATGGCCAGTGCTGCCTGGAGGAGAAGGTGCGGTCCCTGCTGGAGCCGCTGGGCCTCCACTGCACCTTCATCGACGACTTCACGCCGTACCACACGCTGCACGGGGAGGTGCACTGCGGCACCAACGTGCGCCGGCAGCCCTTCTCCTTCAAGTGGTGGCGCATGGTGCCCTGAGCCGGTCCCCCTCATCCTCTCCCCCTGGGGTGGGGCATGGGCCGGTGCTGAACAAGAAGCATCAAGAGACCCCAAGGTTCCAGATAGCACATTGAGGGGGACTGTCTCTCTCAGAAGCCTTTTCCCTAGAAGTGTTCATATCTCACTTGCAACCCATTTGGTTCTCAGACTTGATTCTTGTTGGCCTCCCAAGAAGAAAGACCTCACTTCTTGTGGCCTCTCATGAGGATCAACATGACCCATGGGGATTCCTCCAAACTCCCCCCTTCCCACCCCCAAATCCTCTGTTTGGGATTGAATTTACTTTGGGGTCTAGAAACAACCATGTGTCTCATCTGCCATCTTGGCCTGTGTGTCCTAATGGAGGAAGGACCCACAATTCTGCTTGGGTCTGATTGCCTCTCACTCTGCAGGGGAACAGCCTTAAAGTCAGATCCCTCTACCCAGGAGAGAGTCTACACACAGCTTCCCCCAGAGGAAAGGAGGTGTGGTCCATGTAGATCAAGGTTGGATCATCAGCCTACCTGCCAAGCTTCTGACCAGATGCTAAACTCTCTACCCTACCCAGTGCCCAGCATGAACTTTCACATAGTTGGTCCTTTCTAGATGTGTGTTGAAGGAATGACTGTTGGCCCTTAGCCTTATAAATGCCCCGTCATCTGACATTCAGAAATCTGGCTTTGTCCAAAAACCTCCAGGAATTTCCTAGAGATGAAAGTATGTGGGGAATTCTTGGATTTGGGGAAGCCTATGGGTGCAAGGGTGAAAGATGTCCTTCATAATGCATAGGATGCTTCCTTGGCCCCAGACCTCTCTCTGCAGGAGGGGAGAATCAGTCCTAGACTTTCTGTTGCCCTCTGGTCAACATTTTCATGTCCTGCCATGCCTCAGGAGAGGGGGCCCAGAGGGGCAGATCCACCGAGACAGCTCACAGTGGGCCAGCTCTGGGAATGAACTGCTCTGAGTGCCAGGGGAGGGGGCGAGGGGTGGGAGGTTTCCTCCAGATGTGTGCCAGTTACATATGTGTTCTGTATGGGTCCAGCTGGGTTTCTATCACTGGCTAATAAATCTACAGCAACACGAATGGTTTGGGTCTAATTTTGGCCCTGCTTTGGGATTAGAACATGATAGGACAGAGGAGAGGTTTGCAGCTGAAGCATGTGAAGAATTGGGGGCAGACAGGCCCAAATGTTGGTAAGATGGTGAGGTTGTGTTGACCACAGGGTGAGTTAGGGCTGCTGTGGACCATTGCGGCAATACAGCCCACATACATGCAAGCCTGGGGGTCAAGGGCCAGGCCGCCAGGGCCAAGTGAGTGCAGCAGGGCCAGGGTCTGGGCTGTGGCCGGAAGGTTGTATCATGAGTGTGGCAATGGGGGAAGCTAAAGTGTGTGGAGCATGGGGCGCTGTGTACCCTTCTCAGCATCCTCCTTCCTGCCCATGGGAGGCCAAGGCCACCCCATAAAAGGCCAGATGGGCTTGCTTCGGAGCCTCAGGAAATCACGCCCCCTGCTCGGAATCCTTCCAACCCCCCACCAAGGTGTAAAACAGAAACACACTCGGGCTGGTCCCAGGACTGGGTTGCTTCTGGGTGGTTAAAGCAGGTGCGACAGCCTCTCCCCCAAGCCCCCTCTTGACCACGATTTACTTAGATTCTCCGGACCAGACTCCCAATGCCCCTACGTGGCCAGATTTTATCAGAATAAGCCCACCTCCAAGGGAAGCTGGTCCAAATAATGATGCTGAGAAGATCCTTTTTTTTTTTTTTAAATCCTATTTTTTAAAAGGGTTTGCAGTGGGGCTTATGACTTTCTAGAAGCCAAGTGCTGAAAACCAAGAGAACTGGGATGAGTTTGCAAGCAGGCTTTTCTCTCCAACCACCCCGCCCGATGGCTTCCGGCTGGTCCCAACAGAAAGCCCTGGAAACTTGTCGCTTCTCCAGTTTGCCTCCTGTGCCTTAGGCTGGTGTGGGTGGCACCACTGAACAGCCCCAGGAACCTGACCCCCATGCAGAGAGGAAGCAAAAGAAGCTCTCATTTGGGCCACCTACCATGGCGCTCGCCTGTCCACACAGGGAAGGATAGAGCCGGCGTAGTTGTTCCTCACCACTGCTGTCCCGAACGACCCAGACTGTAGTGGCTTAAAACAACACAAGTTTGGGGCGCCTCGGTGGCTCAGTTGGTTAAGCGACTGCCTTCGGCTCAGGTCATGATCCTGGAGTCCCTGGATCGAGTCCCGCATCGGGCTCCCTGCTCAGCAGGGAGTCTGCTTCTCCCTCTGACCCTCCCCCCTCTCATGTGCTCTCTCTCTCTCATTCTCTCTCTCTCAAATAAATAAATAAAATCTTAAAAAAAAAAAAAACCCACGAGTTTAATCTTACAGTCTGGAGATCTGAAGTCTGAAATGGGTCTCACTAGGCTAATGTCAAGGTGTCAGAAGAGCTGTGTTTCTTCTGAAGGCTTTAGGGGAGAATCTGTCCTCTTGCCTTTCCAGCTTCTAGAGGCCACCCGCATTTCTTGGCCAGCAACCTCCTCTTCCTCCATCTCCAGAGCCAGCAATGGGGCATCTCCAGCTATTTCTCTGACTCCTCTGCCTGCCTCTTCCCCTTAGAAGGACCCTTGTGATTACACTGGGCCCACCTGGATAAGCCAGGCTAACTGGCCATCTCTGGGTCAGCTGTTCATAACCTCAATTCCACCTGCAACCTTGATTCCCCTTGTTCACGTGAGATAACATATTCGCAGGTTCTGGGGATTAGGATGCAGACATCTTTGCGGGGCGGAGGGAGCATTATTCTGCCTACCGTGGCCAGCCGGGCTTCCCGACTGGGCTTCCTGGTCTCCACGAGCTGGAGCACACGTGTCCCCTCTGAAATCCAGCTCGGCTCCTTGATGAGTATCAGGGGGTCAGCAGGAGAAAGATGCCATCGGTGGACCCTCTCTCCAGGACTGGTATTTAGTCCCGGACCCCTGGTGACATGAGGCTGAAACCTGGGATCTCATGAGTTCAGGCTGGTGGCTCTTAAGAGCATTGGGGGTTTCTTCATCAAACCTGAGGCCCAGGGCTGCATTGGGTGCTCCCTTCCAGGGCCTGGTTCTCTCTTAGACCCCCAGGAGGACCAGGATGAGGGCTAGGTTCTCGTGGGGGAAGCCCCCCTCGCCCACAACACACTGAGGTTTCTCTGACGCAGAGGTCAGCCTTGACCCTGGGAAGGTTAGGATGGGTGTCCTAAGGGAGGCTGGAGGTGGCTGCTAGGTTGGGCCAGCTATTTATACCCCAGCGAAAGCTTTTCCAGCACCCTTGTGTATTCTTCATCCATTCCAAATCTATTCAACGAGCATCTGCTGTTTGCCGGGGAAAATCTCTAACCTCAGTTTATATCTAGGGAGGTAGCAAGTAAAGAGACCAGATCAGTAGAAACTGTGACGAGTGCCATGAAGCAGGGCATAAGGAGCAGGGACTAGGGGTGGGGCCTGCTTTAGCCGGGTGACAGACTCCGCCCAGCAGCAGGGATATTTGGGCTGAGACTGAAGAATCTCACGGATGGGCCAGCGAGGGGACAGGCTTCCAGGCAAGGGCGCAGGAGGAAGCCCGGAGGTAGGGGAGCATCTGTGGCATAATGGGATGAAAAGAAGACCAGGAGGGGCTAGGGGTGTGGAGTGGGGTGAGTGAGGAGGAGGCCGCTTTTCCCAGAGCCCTACCATGCCCACCTCGGAACACACTGCTCCTTCCCCTTCCCCTCTCCCCTTCTATAGGGTTTGACTTGGGGGCGGGCAGGACGGGGTAGAGTGTCCACACACCCCAGCCTGCGGGCAAAGCAGCGCGCTACAGTGGAAAGGCCACATGCCTTGGAGACGGACGATCCGATGCTGAACTGGTACTTCTCAGCTCTGAACCTCTCTGGGTCTGTTTTCTCCTCTGTGAAGTGGGCGTAATAATTGTGCCCACCTCATAGAGTTTACACGTGGTTTCCGTGAGAAGTGCCCGGCACGTACTAAGTGCTCAGTGAACATTGCCTGTTGTTGTATAACCTCCCCAGGCTCTCCTCAGGCCCCTGCTGTGTGGAGAGCCCCTCATTCCTGCATTCTGCTAGGGGCGAAGTCTCCACGCTGGGAGGGTCTGCTGGATGTTGGGATGTTGCACAGAGCTGCGCGGTGATTCTGGTGAGCAGCTAGGGTAGAGCATCAGTGACCCAGGCTGTATCGCCTTCCTAAGCCTCGCTGCCCCTCCCCTCCTGCCTGGCACTCCTGTCCACTGCCTAGAATCAGCAAGTTCGGGGGGCCTGGGATCCCACACCGCTCAGGGGGTGGTGGCACCTCCAACAACCAGACGGTTGCTGCTACATTCAAGTTTTCTTGTAGGGCCAGGGGTTCTTAGAGCACACACAAGATTTCCCGGGAGAGTCATTAAAAATGCAGATGTCTGGGCACCCCCACCCATCTGGCCAGGCCTCCTGAGCCAAATCCCTGGGCCTATAGCTATCTGGATGTTGTAAGGCTTCCCAGATGGTTCTGATGGTTCTCATGGTTCTGGGTTAAAATTCCAACTATTTCCTGTTCATCACGGCAAAACATCTGGACACAGCGTGAACATTTATCAAGAGGGTGTCTTTGAGTTCTGGTGTGGTCCACACCTTGCACGATTATACTGTCATTTAACAAGAATGAATGGGAACGATCCCAACTGACTCAGAGGGATTTCTCTAAGGCACTGAGTGGGAGCTGGCTGTGTGTGTTCTAGAACCCGGTCCAAGGCCTCCAGGTGCGCATGGAGTGAGCGAGCTACCATGGAGGGTGCTGGGATAGAAGGGAGGGCCCCACCTCTGCCACAGGGATGAGCTTGGCTGTGGCTCTGAGGCGGGGGGAAACCCTCTCAGCTGAGTGTGACGTGATTTGGTCTACATTCTTTGAGAATGCTCTAGATGGGGAAGGGATTTTGGGGTAAGAAACACGGTGGGGGAGGGCGCCTGGGTGGCTCAGTCGGTTAAGCGTCTGCCTTTGGCTCAGGTCATGATCCCAGGGTCCTGGGATCGAGCCCCGCGTTGGGCTCTCTGCTCGGCGGGAAGCCTGCTTCTCCCTCTCCCACTCCCCCTGCTTGTGTTCCCTCTCTCGCTGTGTTCTCTGTCGCTCTCTAATAAATAAATAAATTCTTTAAGAAAAAAAAAGAAAAGAAACACGGTGGGGGAGCAGACACAGGTCGGAAGGCTGCTCGCTGTCAGCCAACCGACTGCACTCGGTTCACTGTGTGAAACCAGAAGCAATGAGACTGCTGATGGGCAAGGCTGGGGGACTGGAGAGAGGCAGGTCACGAGTGACTGCAGATTTCCAGGCTTGTCTCCTTAACGATCTACTACGCAGTAGACCATGGGTACAACAGAGTCTTTATAATGTTTCTGTAGGATTTAAAGCATTGGTTATGAAATGAAAGCCCGTGTAGTCAGCACAGAACTTTTTTTTTTTTTTAAAGATTTTATTTATTTATTTATTTGACAGAGGCAGAGATAGCGAGAGCAGGAACACAAGCAGTGGGAGTGGGAGAGGGAGAGCAGGCTTCCCGCCGAGGAGGGAACCCGATGTGGGACTCGATCCCAGGACCCTGGGATCATGACCTGAGCCGAAGGCAGACGCTTAACGACTGAGCCACCCAGGCGCCCCAGAACTTTTTTTCTAAAAAGAGAGCAGTCCAAACCCCTCTGCAGTCCTGTGGGGTGATCGGTCCCACCCCTCTCCCGCACCCAGGGCTTCTCACTGACCTGAACCTTGGATTTATCATCACTTCCCCCTCTTTGTAATCGTACCACATACAGCAGCACCTCGGGACTGCCTCCTGGTTAGCGCTGCCTGTTTTTAGAGTTTATAGCACGCGACCATAGTCCCGGCATGATTCTGTGACTTGTCCTTTTCGTCCAGCACCGCGTTGGCGAGATTCGCTCAGGCTGCACGTCCCCAGCATCCGTTCCTTTCCAC